AGCGTTCATAATTAATAATGAATGTGGCATTGAATTGAATGAAATGTAAAAACAGGATTCATGTAATTGATGGATCCCATATAGTTGTTACAAGCAAAGTTTTAAATTGACCCAGAATTAGAATCGCTTTGGCCACTGATTTTCTGGGTCAGTGGTTCAACCGTTCGGTCCAAATGGATTAGCCCATTGCAATTTAAAAATAACAAATAATTAAATAAAAGTGAGCAAAACCACTGCTTAAGTCAAACAGATCAGTGGTTTGACTGCCAAAGTCAGTGGATCATTGACCAAGTCAATGCTTTTTGGCAAAAGAACAATTTAAGAGTGGGATGAAATGGAACCGATTGCTTGACTAGTTTCTAGGCCAAATGGTCTGACCATCTAGGTCGATGATGGTTCAAAAACCATGGTTACAAGGCTTTGAAGATGATGATGGTGTAAATCACATGTGAATCAAGTAAATATTCGATCCAAGCTAAAAATTTCTAAGAACCGGATAACCAAAAACCTTGTAGGCTTCAGGTTTCCGGTTGTGATAGTCCAATCGTCCGGTTTGTTCTGGTTCAAGTCTAACAAGAAACAAGATTGAATTATAAATAAAAAAAGAAAAGAAAAAAAGGAAAATCACATTTAAAAATAAGCACACGTGGGATTCAACATTTGAACTATGCAACTTGATTAGAGTCTGGCCCACAATCTGGTCCATACATAAATGGACCAGATTTGACCCACAATCCATTCATACGACATCCGACTGACGACAAAGATCGGCCGATCCACACCCTGATGATGGAGTTGTTTCCCATATTCAGAAATCAGAATTCAAACGTGTCCATCAATTTGAAAGGACTACTGGCTCCAGATTTGACCCATTACATGCCCCCAGCTGTAGTCCTACGGCCTTAACTTATACAGATGTACCCAATGCCTGATCGTCACCAGTATTGTCAGACTCGGCTCAGACCTCCAGTGGTTGAACCAATGACTCTGAGCCATCTGGGTCCCGGTTTTTTAACAGTTATCATCACAGGTTTAAATATCTTACCAACAATGGATCCATTAAGACCGTGACCCAGAGTGAGCTTTCCAGCTTTTCATCCCGTAAGTCCGATCATTTGAATTCTTTAGGATTCACACACATACATACTTTCTCTCTCTCTCTGACTGTACGCTACGCTGCAAATTAAAATGTACAGACCTGATTTGCAGTGTTCAACACTTTGGAACTCACTCTGGCATTCGGTAGAGTTCATATTGTGCCCACATGACGCCTGCCCAATCTTCAGGGCATTAAACCCCGATCGCCATGGCTAGAATCTCTGAGTGTTCTATATATAGTTGTATAACTAATATGTCCCCATATAAAACCTAGCTAGCGTTTCTGCTGGGGTCGGGCATATGTGAACGCGGGTACTTTCTGTTTGATAAATTCAACCAACATGGAGTCCCACTTGGTGCATGCATGGACTGCACATAATTTAGGCACATATTTGCCAGAGAAGCATTAATTAACCAACTGGGTCCCATCAAGTCATGGATTTTTCAGTCAAGTCAACAATGTTCTAGTCAAGTCAAGCATTTTCTTGACAATTTTGATCTTGAAGCTAGCTTGGCTCCATGGTACTACACACACCATAAATGTTATTTTGGAGGATACTTGGAGTTGGGCTAACTTCATTCTGTGCTGCCAATTGCTTGTGACCCCCCCACCCCAAAATAAAAAATTGGAAAAATATCAAGTAAATAAGTAGTAACAGTGCAGAATTCCTAGCTACAGTGCATTTGGTGTCAGTCAGTTCATAATGGAGTCTATATTTGAAATTTTCTCTAAAATGTTCTGTTACATTAAGTCATGGAGAGTGAAACTAATCAGAATTAATTCCTAGTCTTAAACCATGCTTTACTGATAATATTATAAGTATTTATGTCCTTAAATGCTACCTCCATAATGACATTTCAGTTTTTTGACCTCCCTCCACACGTTGAGAAGCTATATGGAACCTCCTAAGTTTAGAATATAAAGGGGCCATTAATTACTTGGTTTAATGATAAAATCTTGGGCTGGTAAGCATGGGAATATGGGTTCAAGTTGAGAGCGGTTGCTTTGTGCAAAACATGCTCAAGGTTAAGACCATATCCAGTCTACTCCTCCAAAGATATATCCCAAATAGTTGGGATCAACATTGGGTATATACATACTTATATATAGGGGTGGATTCGAGTTGAGTCAAGACAAATATCTAGCTATTCGAGTTTGATTTGCCAATAAAGTATGAGGCTTGAGACCGGTTTGCGCTAGAGACTTAATTGAGCTCAAGTTTGACTCGAGTCAAAAGTTTGTACTCTGTTGTGAGCCAAATGTTTTATAAAAATAAAAAAATTATACATATAAAACAATTAAGAAGTATAAAAACTACTTATTATTGTATATAAAAAATAGAAATACTATATATCATTTTTATTTTTTATTTGTATAATATTTTTATATGTACAGTATATATATGTAAAAACCCAATAAGGCTCTTGAGCCTCACGATCCAAGATTTATTGGGCTTGAGCTTGGCTTGATTAGCAAACAAGCTTATGTATTGGGCTCAAACTCAACTCAAAGCTCGACTTAGACCGAGCCAAATTGGCCACCCCTACATATATACATGAAGAAAAAGGAAAGCATTAATTTGTGGAAAAGAAAGATGCATTTTTGCATAAGAAAAAAGTAAATTGCATATCATGCAAATAGCAAGGTCACTTTTCTCTACTCTTACTTGAATAGGATGCTACCTGACACCCTCATAACTTTTCATCAATCATCGAGACCACATGCAATGCAATAAGATCACGTTTGCACCATGCAAATGCACTGAGTTCAATGTTTAGCAATATTTTTGTTAGTATTGGACTCTCCTAGATAGATGAAGTGTCCATGTTGGATACTGGCGTATTCTAACACACTCCAAGGATTCCTCACATACTTGTGTAATCAACTCCTTTATTTATATTTAACAAAAAATAATAGCTATGACCAATTCAGAACTTATGCGTTAATAACACATAAGTTATTAACTTATTCAAGGACTTGTCTACATGAGGTATGGTGTTAGAATTTGAATAAACTTGTGCAGTATTTTAATGAGGTAGATACATTTATATAGATGTTTTATCATGTTCTTGACTTTTTTGTCTTGCCAAGTCAGAACCATGTAATACTTTTTACTGTGCTTTCCAAGATCATTTATAGGAAAACATGATTTGTACTATCAAGTCCTCCAAGATCCCTAACAAACAGAGAGAGAGAGAGAGAGAGCAGACCCATCTAAGAATAATAAATTAATAACTATGCTGGAAAAAAGAACTTATTAGTTAATAGAGATTATTATAATTAACAGGGACTATGATTTTTTATAGTAGATATTATTTTTTTTTCTAGACAACTTTAATTTGTAGATATTCATGTGTCTGAAGTAAACATTGTAAAAGTAAAGTTTGCTAAAATGAATCTCTGTTTACCATAAACAACCTCAGCCTTGCAAAACTAGCTAATATCGAATTCAATGTGAAAGATGGAACAGGAAGGAGGAAAACCTAATTTGGGACTTATTGAAGACAATGAAAACCATAAATAGTTGGAATGAAGAACTAAGATCAATATATATTGATAGTATATCCGAATAAAATTGAGAGGTGGATCTTGGAAAGGGATGAGTACGGCTATGAAATTAAATCTGGTGGAATAGGTGTCTATGGGACTCATAAGAATTTCTTTTTTTTTTTTTAATTTTTAATATTAGAAAGAAAGCATGTGCAGTAGATGGTTTGTCACTTTAATTTTGTTATTCTTTTATAGTATTAAGTTTCTATGGAAGAATTTACAAAATGTTTTCTTTATATATGAAAACTAGCAAACCTAATTATACATAATTCTTAAAATTATATATTAGTATAGATATTAGACTGTCAGTTACAAACCACAGAACCATGTTAATATTATTAGATTAATTATATGAGTTATTCATTTACAAAATATTAATTACAAAGAGATCTAGCCTAATGTAGCTGAAACATTTCCATGTCTCATTTGGAAAATGTAATTGAACAAGAGGGAAAAAATCTGTTTGATTAGTGGCTATTCTAAACAAATATATGACCAGACTACTGATGAGTTGCACTAGACATACTACCTGATCCTCTCACAGCTTTTCATCACTCATAGAGTCCCACATGCATCAGCACAAAGTAACATCATGTTGCAACTTGAACACAGTTCAACTTAATTTTAACAATGTTGCAACAATGAATTACTGATCCAAGATTTAGAGTTACAAATAAATTGTTTTTTGCTATACACCATATCGAGTGACTGCTCTAAACAAAATGGAAAAACTGCACTTCACCATGAACAGATTATCTCAAACAAAACCTTTAGACAGGATAATATAATGGAGATTAATTAATGACACACAGTTAAAACACAAATAAGCCGTTATTATGTTTTTCCAGGTACCAATGTCCTTCCACTTTGTTCTTGTTCCACAAAAAGCTTCTATAGCATTTGGAGGTAAATTCCACACTTCATACATAGTATGACCAGGAGCTCATGAACTAACAACCTATTTATTTTGTCCAGAATCAATCACTAGCTGTCAGTCATGTTAATTAGTTTTCAATGTCTTCTTCAGTCCCTCCATTTCATGTTTGACTGAAACATGTAGCCCCATCACTGGAAATTAAGATAAACATGTTGATCCCCTATAGTCATACGAGACAGCTGCTAAAATTAATTCAATTTTCATATAGAAAGTTTTAATTCCAAATGCAGAGAATTTGAAAAATGTCAACCTTATTTTTACTTAGAAATGCCAAAAAATGGGACACCATATTAAGCCCAAAGCAAAATCTGAACATAAAATAGAAGCATTTTATTGAGCAAAAGAGCCAATTTTGGGCAAGATCGATCATAGGATCAAAACCATTAATACAGCATGGAAATTAATCTCCTCGGATCAGCTTACATAAAATATAACCAGACTTTCCTTCATGACTAGAAATGCCAGTAAGGCTTACCACAAGAGGGGAGAGACTCCAACAACCATTTATTGCTGCTAGAATTGCCACCACCCTCCCCATCCCTAAGAATCAAAGAAGACCCTTTAGACTGAACTGTTGGGCTATCTCTAGTACTGATGAATGATGTTATGGCAGCGGCAACAGCTGCTCTGAACTTGGGATCTGAAGCAATAGCGCTGACATTGTCAGATAATGACTTTTCTTCAACCTTCCAGTCCCTCTTATCCATTCCTTGAAAGCTAGGGGATTGATGGGCTGAGAAATCATGACCACCATTAACGATTGCACCAGCAGTAGTCTTACAGCTTGGGTTTGTAGGAATCCAAGGGTAAGCCAATTCTGGTCTTGAATGGGAAGAGCTAGGAAGGCGGAATTGTTGCTGTGGGTTGTTGGTGAGGTCGACAACAATCTGATTAGACTGGTTTCTGGGGTCTATGATATTCTTGATGGTTGTTGATGAATGAAGAGAAGGGCTTATCGAATGAGGATTACAGTAAGGAATTGGAGTTCGTCCATCGTTGATGATGCTGCCTGAGTTTACTGCAGAAGGCCACACAAAGGTGGCCGCTGCAGATGCCATCGATGCCATCGTGCATGCGCCAGTGGGCAAAGGATGGTTGTGAGTCCCTTCATAGGTCGTTATGAGTATGGACATGTCTTCTAGGCATCTTTGTACCTGATCAGAAGGGAAGTGTTCAATCAACGAGTTAGAATTGTGAATAAAAACAAAGAAACTAAGAAACTGATGATGATCATCATAGAGTACTGAAATTGAAATTAGATAGGATCACAAATTAAGCACCTGTTTCTTCACTGGGCATCCTGGAGCTACCATGCAACGATAATAGGCCCTCGGACAAGGGTTTCTTTTTGCAATCTTCTGTCCGTATTTCCTCCATTGGCAACCATCATATATCTGCAAATTCATTTCAGAATTTTATTTCTTCAATCTTAATTAAAGTTTAGGAGAAGTTTTCATTCTTCCAGTTATAATTTGTTTAAACCCTTAAAATTCATGCTAAGAAGCATAGTTAGATCTTAAGTTCCTAAGAACTGGACAACTATCTCAGGGTGTGTGCATGGATCTGTTAGTCTTCTCTCCAGTACATCCTCCTTTAAATTAAAAGAAAAAAAAGAAGAAGAAGAAAACAGAAAATTGAACTCACAGTGGGTGCTGGGCATCTTGCTCTGACTGTAATTCTAGCTTTCTTACTGGGTGGTTCTGGAGAACTGTTTGTAATTCCATCCGATTCTTTCTTTACAAGATTATTTTGTTCTGGTTCCAAACCTCTATTTTCTTCTTTGGTGTTGTCATCTCGTCCATGTTGGTGCGCATGAGTTTGCATACTCAAGGATAATTCCAATTCCTCATCTTCATCTTCACCGTTTTTTGCTTCTGATGGTAATAAAGGAGCCGGATTTTTATCATGTACGACTTCAGAGACGTCTCTAGTTCCTTGAATTGTGTTGGCATCTCCATGGAGCGAGAGAAAGATCTGAGGATCCTAGATCAAGTGAAGGAAAGTATCACAAAATAACATCAAAAGAATACACAGAGTTGTGCTTTTTATATAGTCTGAAGAACAGTAGACTTACTTTTCTTGTATCATTTTGCTGGACGACTGCAAGTTTCATCTGAAGACTTCGGTAATCTTTCATGGTCTCTTCAACTACCTTCCTCAACAATTTGTTTTCCTCTTTCATGCGGTCCATCTCCATCTGTAGCACAGATAGCTAATGCAGAATGATAGTTAGCTGTTGCAGCAGATGTGAATTACTCGTCAAACTAGTCGCTAATTTACAGACACAGACACAGACATACACAGAGAGAGAGAGAGAGAGAGAGAGCTAACGATGATATCAATATTATGGTTTCTTTCTTGTACATACCTCTTCTGTCCTTAGATTTTCTTGCAAGAATTTGCCTGCTGATGCATCCTTCTCTTCTTCTCTTCTTTCTTTTCTTTCTTCACTTCCACATGCCGGGTTCTCTTGACCTTCCTGATCATCTACTTCCAGTTCTTCTACCACTTGTTCTGCTTCTTCTTCAACTAATTCTTTTCCATTTTGGCTTCCCAAGTTCAGAGACAGATCAATTTGCGTCATCCTCTCTTCCTTCCCCATTGAAGATAAGTTGCAGACTCTCTCTCTCTTTCTCTCTCTCTCTCTGCAACCTAATAATGCTGGTTTGATTTCTCCTCTCTCAGACTGGTATTTAAACAATTTCTTTTGGCCACTTTAGTGGCTTGACTTAGGGTTATACCGCCAATGAATGTATTGGACGGAACCGACTCGTTTCATTGCTTTCCTTATTTTTCTTTCATTTTCTTTTTTTGGGATCGTCCAATTCTGTTAGCTTCGATTGACGTGGATTTGTGTTGCTCTATCTTTGTCTCCCTTAAGTCCTGGGGCCTCATCACTGCCTTCGCTTTGGTCTTCTTGCTCTATCATTAGTGCTCTTCTAAATTGGTCCCCATTTCTCAAAACTCAGCTACTACCATTGGAGCAGACCTGGGCTAAAAATGTGAATCACAGCCCTCAATGTATGATGCATTACTATGGCCCCACTTAGATTTTGAATGAAGTGACGTAAAATGGGCCACAGCAAGACATTGAAGGCTATGAGTTCACGGTTTTAGCCCAACGCTACTCCAACGGAACAGCTGATGATTCTCCTCGACAACAGGGCATGCTTTGAAGCTAAGACCACTTGTTGAATGTCAGACTGGGCCACAAATACCGGCCGCTGGTAGTTGTCACTTGGGGATGGCAATTTTCCCCATCCCCACGGGACCTGAATTCCTGACCAATGGGGTTGGGGATGGAATTGTTTTGGCGGACGGGGATAGAGATGGGGATTAATAGGAATCTCCGATTGGGGTTGGGGTCAGAGATGGGGGTTGAGGTCCCCGCCCTGCCTCGACCCCGATTATATATATCAAAACATATTTAAAATATTATTTATAATTTAAATTTTTTATTTTTTTAAATAAATTTATTTTTCAAAAAAAATACAAAAAAGTACGGACAAACCCAACGTAGATTTCTGAATTCCACTACAAAGCTATAAACATTCAAAATGTCAAAAACCCCACTCTATACATCACCTAGAAATTCTGACCCTGGTTTGAACTGTCAATCTCCCAAAAAAATATTGTTATCTAAAAAATTTTCAGAGATTCGGGTCCCTAGGAGAACACATCCCCATCAGGGATCGGGATGGAAGATAAATTTTATCCCTGGTAGGGATCGGGGGGATGGGAATGGGGTTAATTTCAAAATCGGGGGCAAGGATAGAAAATATGATCCCCACCCCAAACCCGTCCATTGCCATTCCTAGTTGTCACTTGTCAGTCCACCGGACTTAAGATGGGCTTACAGAGAATTTTATTTTTATGGGCTGGGTGAAGCCTGTTTTTAAGTTAGCCCAGCCTTTTTTGTGCACTAGGACATTGGCCCAGCTAGCCTACCTAGGCTTGTACAAATATATATATATATATATATATATATATATATATATTATCTCTAATTCCTATTTATCCTCTCCCATACTATTTATCCATATATATCTAAAGAAAGTTTGGATTAAAAAATTTAATAATTATTTAAGTATTCTAACAAAATTATAAATAACTTTAAAATATTTATTAAAACACAAAAAAAATTATATTTTTTACAAAATATATCACAAAATCATGTACTAACAATTTAAATTATGTTTTTTAGGATTATCAATTTAAACATTTTTTAAATATTTAATAATATGTAATAGCTTTAAATAAATAAAATTCAAATAACAAAAAATTTTAAATATTTTATAGATTATTTAAATATTTAAATAACTAAATATTTATCATAACTAGATTTTAAATAGTTAAAATAACGAAATTATGTAATGAATTTAAAAAATTTCTTCAAAGTAGAAAAATAATTAGAACATAATATTTAAATTAATAATAATTTAATATATTACAAATTTAATAATGAAATTATGCAATCATAGTATAAATTATGATTTTATGGAAAATTAAATTCAATAAATAATTAATATTTTAAAATTTATATATTTTACATATTATTTAAGTATTTAAATAACTAAATATTTTAAATAACAAAATATTTAACATAATAAGATTTTAAATAGTTAAAATAAATAAATTATGTAATAAATTAAAAAAATTCTAAAAAGTAGAAAATAGTTATCACATAATATTGAAATTAATAATAATTTAATATTTTTACATAATATTGTAAATAATTAATTTCACTTATATCAAGTAATAATTCGAGATAATAACTTTCAAAAAAATAATATTTATTAATAATTATTTTAAACTCTTAATCTATATTTATTATATAATCTATATATACTAAAATTAATATTTATTGTCTTTTGTGATAAATGTATTTTCAATAAGTATGTATAAATTTATTTTGTTAAGTTATTTAATAGAAAACTTTCAATAATTATTGGAGATTAAATTACTTTTATTGAAATTTTTAAATTTAATTTGTTGCACTTATTGTATTTTTTGTGTTTTTGTTATAAGTTATTGATTAATATTTAGTAGAGATTAAACTATTATTTGAGATTATACTATTTATTGACTAAGTTAATATATTTTTAGTACTTATTGTATTTTTGTAATTTCTGTAATTATTGTATTTTTCATTATCATTATATTTTCAATAATTGTGTATTTCTGCTATAAATTTTCAATAATTATGGGATATTAAACTATTTTTATTAATTAGAGATAAGAATATTAATTTAACTGAAAATTATTAGTGTACATGAGTTGGTTCGGTGCGGTTGTAGGCTATTTGGCCAAACAAATTGACCTGGTCAAGTTAGGGAGTTGGTCAGCTGAAACCAACTAACCTTTTGTGAAAACCGACCCACTCATGTTGTATTGGTTTGGGTCAATTTTTTGGTTTGGTCAATCTGTTCAAAAGATTTAAACTTAAAAATTTAATTTAATTTTAAAAATTATAGTGCGATTATTAAATAATAAATTTAAAAATTAGATTTATGATATAAAACATTTTAGAGAAATATGGGAAAATTCCCACTTTTTTATATTAAAAATTATACTTAAAATATAAAATATTAATATATATCCATGGTTAGGTCGTTCGATTTTGGTCGATTTACAAATGGCCAAAGTGGAACTGATCTAACTTGGTTGAATTGAGAAATTTTTGAACCAAAGCCAACCTAAAATACTAGAAAATCGACCAACTTGAGTCGATTAATTGGGTTAGTTGGTTTCATCAGTTTGATAAATAAACCTAACTGAAATTAATTATTGTTATTTTTGTATTATAAAAAATTTATTAAAAGTAGTATATAAAATATGAATAATTATTAATTATTTACACACTTTTAGGGATAGCAATTTTCCCTATCCCCGATGGGGACTTGACTTCCCTGACCCAATGGGTTGGGTGGGGGTGGAGACGAGGATTAATATGAATCCCCTATCGAGGTTGGGGTTGGGGATAGGGATTGAGGTCCCCACCCCACCCTAACCCCGATTATATATATATATATGTGTGTGTGTGTGTGTGTGTGCATTAAATGTTATTTATATTAAATATGCTATTGTATTATTTATATTATATATACATCAAAACATATTTAAAGCATTATTTATAATTTAAAATTTTTATTTATTTTAAAAAAATACTATTATCTGAAAATATTTTGGGGATTCAGGTCCCCATGACGAACCCATCCCCGTTAGGGATCGGGGATGGGGGTTAATTTTAGAATCAAGGTCGGGGCCTTAGGCCAACAATTTCATTAATGAGTGTTTGTTTTGCCATTAGGCCCATGATTTTTTATTCCAAAAATACCCATATCACTTTCTTTTTGTATAAAAAACAAAATTAAACAAATGTAGCCAATAAAGTGGTTGCCCATGTCTTATTAAGGGCAACAATGGTATTTTTATTTTTATTTTCTTTTGATTAAATTTATTTAAATGAACATTAGGGTCAACACTATCATTTTCCATTGTCATCTAATGGAAGATTGATTAAATCCATTGCAAATTATAAGTGGTGTTTTAGTAAAATGCTAAAAGGGATATTTTAGTGTATACGGTAGACTTTAGTATATCCATGAAACTATAAGAGATATTTTAATGTATGACCCTTTTTATTATTTAGCTTTCTCTTAATAAATCCCATGCATTGCACGGGTCCCCGCTAATAGGAAATTACAGCACAACATAACATTCCATGACATGATTAGTCCACCTCTGCCAAGAGAGAGATTGTGCTGGTACGTCATTTAATACGCAATACCTAGATGAACAAAGTATTCTACTATTCCAAATGAAAATATGTCTCTCATGTATAGGGCATTGTATAGCTAGAACTAACACCTACTTTCATTATTTCCGTTGTCACGAAAGAAGAAAATTTTAAATTTTGAAATAAATCATCTAAATCTCCCCTTCACTTTTCCTCATTTCTCTTAAATAAATAATGACTTTTCAAAACTTCCATAAACCTTCCACCTATCACAGAAATTTTCTTATTTAAAATTAATTACCTCGGTAGATTAACATTAGTGAACACTATTAGAAGTTGTCCACCTAAGCCAATAAGCATCTTTTATGACCAATGTAACCTAGAGAAACCAATGAACTCTAGGGGTATTCATAAAAAAATCGAGAAACCAAAAGACCGAACCGAATCACGAAATCCAAACTAAAAAATCTGGTTAACCAAGTTAATCAGTTTGGTTTTGGTTTGATATTTTTGAAAAAGAAAATGATTGGTTTGGTTTTTGGTTAACCTAAAAATTGGCGATTAACTGAATCATCATTACATATATACACAATTATCTATTTATTATAATCTATTTATAATATATTATATATTTATTTATAAAATCTATAAAAATTTGAGAAATTGAAGAATCAAATTGGTCAAAAACCGAAACCGTTCAACCAGTTGATTTGGTTCAGTTTCAGTTTTGGGATTTTCAAAAATTGGTAATACTGGTTTGGTTTGAAAAAATACCTCACAATTTGGTTACCCGAACCATGAACACGTTTAATGAACCCTAGTTACATTTTTTGTGACGAAATTGCCCTTGGTTGTCTAGTCACTTTATGTAGGATAGGCCT